AGTCTCTAAGGTGCCACAAGTCCTCCTGTTCTTCTTTTTACAGAAGGAGTGCACAGCAGACCCGCAAAAGCGATTTAATTACTGCGTTGGCTGTACGCCGACATAACTTAGGTCGATATAATTTTGTAGTGTAGACATACCCTTAGGAAAACAAATGTTTAATGCACACAGAAAACATTGTAAATAGTATTTTGAATCACTTTTAAACAAGACTGGCCGATTTTTTTTTAATGCCCTCTGAAAATAGCAGGTGGAAATTCAGAAGCCCAACTGTTTGAAAATGTGACCTTGCTATTTACTGTTCTGGATTAGATAGTAGTAAAAAAAGGCGGCAGTGAAACCAATGAGGGAAACAGTGACACTCTGACAGCGATCAGGCTTAGGCATTAGTATATCTTCTTGGGGCTGGATACCAAGGAAGAAACTTCATGTGATGCAAACCAGTGGCAAGCAACAGAACTAATAAAACAAACAAAAAACCGAGAGGAGAAATCTTCTGCTACAAACTGGAAATACATTATTACACCTGGTATAGAGAGAAACCGGTTTTTCTCCAGCCAACATGTCCACAGCTGGAGCTGATCTAGGATAGGGATCCCTCAGTCCTGCTCTATTGCTTCAGTGGTCAGATGAGATGTGACAGCAGTGGGACAATAGGCTAGTGTGCAGGGATTAGATCTCTTTTGTTTATCTTTAGTAGAAAGAGAGAGAAGTGGCCCAGGGACGACTCTTTGGAGCTCATTTCTGAGTGCTGGGAGTGCAGCTGAAATTATTAGTGAGACAGAGATGGTGAATCTGAAATGCTTGGACAATTTAAGAAATGGTTTGACCCACCTCTTTGTAAGCCCATCCCCCCCACCCAGGGAAACGGGGCTCTCAAACTAAACTCAGCAGGAGTCACAGAATTGAGATGAGCAGCGACAACCCATGCTGCAGTGCCCGTCTGCAGCACACTACATTCTGCCGCAGCAGGAAAGAAAATGTTGGTGAAAAGGTAACTTTTTAAAAAACCATTGTCACATGCACCATGCTGAACCTGGGGACGTTGTGCGGGATGACATGTGTGCATCATTCCAAGGGCTTGATTACAGAAGTTAGCAGCATTAGCATTTGACTCTATTTATTGAGTAGTTTTCTTGCTTCTTTGGAAAATGACCTTTCCAAATAAAATATTATCCTTATTATGTTACAGGCCCCCTTGTGCTAGGCCCTGTACAAACTTATAGTAAGAGACAGTCACTGCCTAAAGATCTGACAGTGTAAATAGGCAAGACAGAACAAAGGTGGGAGGAAAAGAAAGATTTGCCCTATTTTTACAGAGGGAGAACAGAGTCCCTTTGGGTATGTCTACACTGCAATAGAGACCTGCGGCTGGGCCATGGCAGTTCACTCGGGTTCACAGGGCTCAGGCTGTGGGACCCTGTAAGGGAAGAGGATCCCAGAACCTGGGCTCCAGTCTGAACATCTACACTGCAATTTTATAACCCTGCAGCCCAAGGCTGAGTCCACTGACATGGGCCAGTCATAAGTGGTTTAGTGAAGTGTAGACACACCCAGATGTTAAGTGTCTTCCCCCACGATAAATCTGTGTCTGAGATGGGCATAGAACATATACTGTGGGCTTAAGATGTGATAGAAATAGTTACATTAGAAAGCGTGTCCAGAGGAGAGCAACAAATATGATAAGAGGTTTAGAAAACATGATCTATGAGGAAAGATAAAAAGAATTGTGTCTGTTTCATCAACAGAAGAGAAGGCTCAGAGGGAACCTGTTAAGTCTTTAGACATGTGAAGAGGACAGTGTTCAATTGTTCTCCATATCCACTGAGGGTAGGACAAGAAGTAATTGGCTTACTTTGCAACAAGGGAGATTTTTGTTGGATATTAGGAAAAACTTGTTAAAACCAAGAATAGTGAAGTACTAGAATAGGCTCCAACGGAGGCTTTGGAATCCCCCTCATTGGAGATTTTTAAGAACAGGTTAGACAAACACCTGTCAGGTATGGTTTAGATATACTTAATCCTGCCTCAGTTCAGGGGGCTGGACTAGATGACCTCTTATGGTCATGTCCAGTCCTATGTGTCTATGATTCTACGATTAAAATATCATTGATTAGTTCAGTGGTTCCCAAACTTGTTCTGCTGCTTGTGCAGGGAAAGCCCCTGGTGGGCCGGGCCAGTTTGTGTACCTGCCGCGTCCGCAGGTTTGGCCGATCGTGGCTCTCAGTGGCCGTGGTTCGCTGCTCCAGGCCAATGGGGGCTGCGGGAAGCGGTGCGGGCTGAGGGACATACTGGCCGCCGCTTCCAGCAGCTCCCATTGGCCTGGAGCAGAGAACCGCGGCCACTGGGAGCCGTGATCGGTCGAACCTGCGGACGCGGCAGATAGACAAACTGGCCCGGCCCGCCAGGGGCTTTCCCTGCACAAGCGGCGGAACAAATTTGGGAACCACTGGATTAGTTCATTACAAACTTTGTTGTGTTGTTAGTAGAGATGGTCCCAGACCAACTTCTCAGGTTCAAACAATCACAGACATGGTGGAAGCCTGTTCTGAATTGCTCAGCTCTGGCCTGTTTCCAGTAGTTATTTTGTAGGGTCAACTGTGCTCGAAAGAAAATTCAAGACTGACCAAAACACACTAAACCAGAAATACAACAATATTGCAAATTATGCAAAGTCTAAATGGGGACATTTCCCCAGTTACCTTGACATGATAAGCATTTATATGTTATAGCAACTTACCTATGTTAACTTCATTCCATAGTAATTATGGATTTCCCATTGTCACCTGGAGACACTCACTGGTTGCTTTTAAGCTTGCTGTATAAGGGAATTGGAGTCCTGCAAAAACCCAACTATTGCCACATAACAATAGCGTACTGAACAACGGTTCTTTATTGCAGCTGCCTGAAGTTGAAGCCTACAGGTGTCAGTGTTAGCTGAGTGAAGGAAGCTGCAGCCTGTGTGTAGAACTCAGTGACTGGGGAATCAAGAGTTTGGTTTCTATTATTATTAATAGGATATTCTCCCTAGGTTTCCATATAGCAACCATCACAATTAATCCCATTCTGCGTAGTGTGCAGCCATGCCACCTGATGGCATGATGCTACCAGCACTGTAGGATGTACAAGCAACCTACAAGATCAAGCCTGGTCAGGAGTTAGATGGAAGAGCATCAAGGAAAATCTAGGTACAGCAGGAGGTGTTGTTACTGACTAAAAAGTGGGTACAGTTCCCTGTGTCTGGTTTGAAGCAATGCCACAGCTGTGCTAGCGGGCACTTGGCTGCTGGAAGGATTCTTTCTTGGAGGAGCTGTAAAGCATATGCCCTGATAAGTTCTGAATTTAAGTGCTTGATTTGTATAAGGTGAAGCCTGATGTTTGCCTACCTAAGCTAGCACCTGCAAATCAAACGTTTGTGTATGCAAATAGGTTTCATAATCCACTTGCTATACTACACATCCCCAATTTTCATGCACCAATATAGCTCTCGTATGTGCCAATGCAAAAAAAAGTGCCTTGGAACTCACTAATATCCCTTTGCACATTTGGCAGGAGTTGGGGATTTAACAGCATCCCAGAAATTTTGAAAGCGTGAGCCATATTTTGCAAGGTATGAACTAATTTTAAAGCAATGGATTCTAATTTCCTTTTTATCTTATTTTCCCCTTAGTGCAGATGGGGACTTTGCAGTCACCCACCTGACCAAAGCCCACCTTTTTTATGATGGAAGAATCAAGTGGATGCCCCCTGCTATCTACAAAAGCTCCTGTAGCATTGATGTCACCTTCTTCCCCTTTGACCAGCAAAACTGCACCATGAAGTTTGGCTCCTGGACCTATGACAAAGCCAAGATAGACTTAGTGAGCATGCACAGCCATGTGGACCAATTGGACTACTGGGAGAGTGGAGAATGGGTCATCATCGATGCCGTGGGCAATTACAATATCAAGAAATATGAGTGCTGTGCAGAGATCTACCCTGATATCACCTACTTCTTTATTATCAGGAGGCTGCCCTTGTTCTACACAATTAATCTGATCATCCCCTGCCTCCTTATCTCCTTCCTGACTGTCTTAGTCTTCTATCTGCCTTCGGAGTGCGGTGAGAAGATCACCCTTTGTATCTCAGTGCTGCTGTCACTGACCGTGTTCCTGCTGCTCATTACGGAGATCATCCCTTCCACCTCCTTGGTCATCCCCTTGATTGGAGAGTATCTGCTTTTCACCATGATATTTGTCACCTTGTCCATCATCATCACTGTCTTTGTGCTCAACGTGCACCACCGCTCCCCCCGGACCCACACCATGCCCGACTGGGTGAAGCGGATCTTTCTCGACGTTGTCCCACGCCTCCTCTTCATGCAACGGCCCTCGGTGGTGAAGGACAATTGCAAGAAGCTGATTGAGTCCATGCACAAAATAGCCTCCTCTCCACAGCTTTGGTCCGAGACTGAAGTGGAGCCTAAGTTTACTACCTCCTCTTCAAACAGCCCTCCGAGCAAAGAACCATCACCCACCTCTTCCTTCTGTGCCCATCTTGAGGAGCAAGTCAAACCCCAGACTGTCGGCAAGTCACCTTCTCTCCAGTACTCTGTGCTACACCAAGAGCCAGCACAGGCTAGCTGCTCCTCCCTGCAGCCCCCCTGCCATCCGCTGAGTGACACCCAGTCCACATCCATCTCCAAGAGCAGATCATTAAGTGTCCAGCAGATGTACAGCCCAAATAAAGTAGAGGATGGGAGCATCCGCTGCAGATCCAGGAGCATCCAGTACTGCTACCTGCAAGAGGAGTCCTCCCAGACCAACGGCCAGACCAGTGGCTCTCCGGCAGCTCAGCGGTACCGTCTAAATGAGAAGCAGCCCCAAAGCAAAGCCTCCCAGTGTAAATGCAAGTGTAAAAAGCATGTGGCAACCAGCTCTTCGGAGCAAGGAACCAAAACTCTCAGCACCAAAGAGCCACACGTTTTGCTGATGTCCCCTGCCTTGAAGCTGGCAGTGGAGGGGGTCCATTACATCGCAGACCACTTGAGAGCCGAGGATGCGGATTTCTCAGTAAGTACAATTGGCGGCCTGCCACCCATTGTGATTGTCAAACAAAACAAGTCATGTAACTAGGACGGGCTGAAAAGCAGGTCAAACAATCCCTTCCACTCCTTTGTAATGTCCACATTTTTATGGACAACTTTTCAAATTTTGAAACATCTCAACCAGCTTGCGTTATACCCTGGGCTAGGATCCTGTCAATGAGCATTGAGGGCCTGCAGTGTCTTGCAGGGTTGGGGCTCAGGTTAGCAGTGCTTCCCTGTTGCTGCTGCCTATTTCATGATCTACCCGTACAGGAGCTGCTTGTAGCTTAGTGTTGAGAACCACATCTGTCATTCCTCTTTTAACCTTGGCAGCCACGACGTAGCTTTCCACAGATTGGCTTTGTTTAGGAATGCACTGTGCTATTCCTCTGGCACTGGGTCTTGTTAAAATAACCATTGTTTCTAAGCTTAGCATACTGCAGCTCAGAATTGTAGCTTCACTTGCCTATAAATAAGAGATCCGGACACCATTTTATAACGATACAGCAAAGAACCAGAACACTTAGTGAAAGCAAATCATACCGGACGGAACTCAGCTGAGCTCTACACACCTGACCTATGGCCCTGCAAGTTGTTAAACACCTCCCATGAGAGGATGAGCACCGTAAGTGGAGGTTTGATAGGAGAGTTATAAAATCATGACTAGTGGAGAAAGTGAAAGTGTTATTTACCCCCTCACATAACACAAGTTCTAGGACAGGGTTTCTCAAACAGGGGTCGCCGCTTGTGTAGGGAAAGCCCCAGGTGGGCCGGGCCGGTTTGTTTACCTGCCCTGTCCGCTGGTCCAGCCGATCGCAGCTCCCACTGACTGTGGATCGCTGCTCTGGGCCAATGGGAGCTGCTGGAAGCGGCGGCCAGTAAGTCCCTCGGCCCGCGTAGCTTCCAGCAGCTCCCATTGGCCCGGAGCAGCGATCCGCGGTCAGTGGGAGCTGCGATCGGCCGGACCTGTGGAGGGGGCAGGTAAACACACCGGCCTGGCCCGCCAGGGGCTTTCCCTACCCAAGCGGC